GCTTAAGTAATGAGCTTGGTAATTAATATTACAGTAAATTGTTTTTCAATACTTGCTTTGAGTTCATGAGACTACTTGAAGCGTTCGAATAAATATTCACGTATTAAATTTCCTATTGAAGTCGGAAGTTAAAATAAATTTTATTGATTATATATATTGTATATATAAAAACAAGTAATTTATTTATTTTAAGGGCAATTTTTATTGTTGCTTGAGTACACTTCAACTTCTCTGATATGAGATTGAACTACTTGATTGGTTGGCTATACAATTTTATTCTTATGAAAAATGATCAAATAAGTTCACTTATAAAAAATTTTTTACTTAAATGTCAATTTTAAAAGATTTTAATAATATATCTTGAGGCTACTTGTTTCAATAATGATGAGTATAAAGTGTTAAACAATAATATTAATCATTTTTTATATGAAATTAGATATTTGTAATTTTGTATTATTACTTACTTATAGAAATATATACAATCAGTTACTGAGAAATTTTTATTTGTTTGACGATTTAAGTATATTTGAGTATTTAAACAAATAATTTTCAAACATTACTTAAACAAATTAAAAATTCGTAAGTAAGACCCCCTTTGAATAGCATTATAAGCTCTGCCAAAGGTTCTAAGTGATTCTAAAACTCGTGAATTTTTCAATATACTGTCACACAATGAACCAATAAGCCCTTTATAGCATTATATCCACTATAGTAGATCCCTTTGAATCACCTGTATAACTTACTTACCAACCTAAAGGTTCGTAAACACAAAAAGTTATATAGATAACTAATATCAGATGAATATATCCATTTTCCTTGCTACTTTGATATCCACAATCAGTGCTGTCCTGAAAAAGTTTTTCTGCTTTTTGTAGTCTTGGAGAATGAAAATGATTAACTTAATTGCAAGAACAGCTATATTCCAGCAAAGCAAATTATTTCCATATAAATAATTGTCGGTAATCATACAAACATACATTGTTTAAATTCTTACAACCAGCTTAAAAACGTGGACAATAACTAAGCACTGATCTTATGCATCTTATTTTATGTTGTGTAAATCAATGAGTCTGATAATACATTTATATTCAAGCAATTTTGATCCGAGATATAAGATTTCCCTCTGTTTTCTGCTTAATTATATTTTAGTTTCAGGAATAAATTTAAATGAGTAAAAAGCTCTAAGCTTCAATAGAAAGACTATAATAGAACTTTAGTACTCAACTTTAGACCCTAAACAAACTGAAAAGATTAAACTTTAATAATGAAGGTAACAATATTTCTCGTCAAGAATTATATGTCTCGGCCTATTGTTCTACTCTTGGTCGATGTTAAAGATTTGTATTCAGTGACGTGACTTCTAGTAGTAACGAATGTAGCTTCTAATTACAAATGACTTAATTACTAGTCCCCTAGACATAAAGAATGTGACTTCTAGGTACAATGATTATGATTTGTTGGTACAAAGATTGTAATTTGTCGTCACGAAGACTATAAAAACATTTTATTCTTGGTAGAAATTCTATTTTGCTCAGTCAGATAGCCTCATCTTATTAGTGGAAATCATCATGAGTTGGTGTATAACGTTTTTTTATTGGAACATACACATATTTACATGTTTGACCCTTTGCAGAAAGTCCATCCTTCTCTGCGCTAATGTCCTTAGCGCTTATTCTTATTTGTTAATAACGATTATTGTAAATAATTTATTCATTTAGCTCATTTTATTAATTTACTTAGAATAATTTTTTCAGTCAATATCAATTTCGTTATCATTTATTATAATAGAGTATCAATATATATACAAATATATTTGTGACAATTTTAAAACACTAATATAAGAATTTCAGTGTATTATATTTATATTCCACAAATTCAAATAACAAGAAATAAACAAAAAAATATTGCAAAATATTTTAAAAATAGGTCTTTCATTCATACTATATTTAAATCAAAATCTTTTCTTCTAAGCAGGATTCATTTATGCAAATTAATATATTTGTTAATCTTTTAATTTTGATATAATCTAAAGAGTTCCGACAGCGTATTATAATATAGCGTATATGATCAATTTAAATAAATTGCCTGTAATTCAATAAATTTTATGAATAAGATGTTTTTATTCGAAACTACTACACAATAACCAGAATTTTCAAATGGAATTTAATATAAGAACGGAAATTCCAAAATCAACTTAGAACATTATTTAAATAAGTTTTTAAATTAATTATATGAATTTTATTTAAAATTAATTTTTTTAAAAAAACAAATGAATCAACCATTTTTTATTTGGTTTTTTTTTTGTCTATGAAAATAGCAAAATGATCAAATAAAGCATAAATATTGAACATAAAATTTTTTGTTTGACGTCATCAAAATAATAAATAATTATTCAAAAGTTATAAATACATTAGTAATCCATTTAGTTGAGAAGATACTTTAACATTTGGTTTAATGTTTAGAAATTGTAGAATATTCTTTAAATAATTTATTTACATCTTAAGCTTACCTACTATCTACCGGTTAATGATTCATGAAGAGCACGAATTTGTTATTTAATATGAAAAAAAAATGTTTAAAAAAATAGGTTTATAAAATTTAAGAATTTTTTCTAAATCGCAGATCAAAACTTGTCTTAACAAAGTATTTAAGACAGTAACAAATTCATTAGCAAATATAAAAAATAGACGCTTTAGTGTCTGAAATTGGTGTTAAATTGGGCACAAAATAAATTACAAATGACCGTAAACAAACTATGGAAGAGTATAAATAATTTAAATATATATATATATTTTATTATATATTTATATTTTATTATATATTTATATATATATATATATATGTTAGCTATATATATTTCCATTTTATTTGTTTAATATTTTTTTGCAGCACTTCTTGATATTTTTAGCATTTTTTTTTTGTTATCGAAAAGCGATATTAATTTGACTATGGAATATTTCGTTGTTATAGTTTATTTTTTATGAAGTCCTACAAATAAAATTAATTTCTATTAAACAAAAACACTAGTCTCATATTAAAGTAGTTGATACATAATACCTTTAGAAACTTTCGTTACTTAACTCAGTGTAAAGCACACCCTGACACTTAGCACTTGATAGTATGAGAAATTTATTATATTTGAACCTATATAAAACGAAACTTAATATAGCTTAATGTGTAATACTTATGAATATATCAGCTATAAAAATATATGCAAAAAGCAATACATAGCCATATATTCAGAAATTATTCATAGATTAAAAGAATTAATAATAACCTTTAACTCCAACTAGCTCTAGCAGTCCGTTATTGGATTTCGGATTGACGTAAAACTTTTTTTCAGATGATTTCTCTAGCTTCATAAATTAACTTCAATTGGAATTTCATCAAATTGGTCGATATATATTAAGTACAGAATTCCCAGTTTTTATCATCTAGGTTTCCAAACACTTAGCTGCATCATCGTCTTTAAATACCACCGCATAACCAAGTTAGCCACTAAATTATAGTTCAGTAAACAATATCACTGGACCACCTATAAAGGCTATGATTTATTATCTAATAAGGAAAGTTTCTCTAAAATACTAAACAATACAAAAATCACCAATCATCTTTAATATTTTCAAGAAATCCACTTCGTTTTTCCTATTTTTTTTAAATGATTCCTTTGATCTTTCAACGATTTTATCAATTTATTATCAACTTATTGAGTAGCTGTGGTAAAAAAACTGCAATCAATATATTCTATTAAACTATTTAGTAAATTTAGTATATGTAGATCAAGAGTCAGTGAAAAAAAATATATTTTTATCTTACAATAAGATATTTTTATATTATAACCTTCAAAATTTTAAATATTCTAAAAGAAGGAAAACTAAAAAAAAAAAACTTACTACAGTCCTCCCGTCATCCAGACAATGGTGCATAGGAACCTATGCAGAGAAACTGTGTATTCCTCATAATCCTCATTGCAGAAGTTGTGGAAACCTGCAGGAAAAAATTATTAAACATACTATGTGTGAATGCCCGGCTTTGAGTCCAGAAGAAATAGATTTTTGGGAAGGTATGTTTTTTTTGACAACTTATCAAAATTATCAAAATACAAAGGGATGAATTTCCTCGATATTGAATGTGGTAGCAAAACGGGAAAAATCCCCAATTTAGATACATGGGAAGTTATCTGATGGCCTGCCACTGCAACCAACGAACCAACCAAATACATGAAACGTAAAAAAATCATAAGTGAATCGAAATGTATTTTATCGTCAATATTTTGAAGACTACAATTATACCAGCGTTTAATTGAATTCTTCATGGATTTTTTGTAACATGACTTAGGTTCTCCTAAATCTTTTTTATGACGATATCTTTTACGCGCGTTTTCCAAATTATAAATATCGGATACTTTTTACACAGAATCACATGAAAGTAATGTGCTAGTAAAATCTATTGATTAGTGTTGGTTGTTTTTTTTTTTGTTAATTATTTCCCATCGGCTTTTATATTTTATAACCTAAGTACAGAGTTTTAATTACACTGTATAAGTTTGCAAAATAAGTGTTTGTTCTTAATTGCATAATGCAAATTATAGTATTTAAAGATGAGCTGACATGTAATGTTTACATTCTATAGCTAGTTTATTTACTAGTAGTTCATTAAAATTTAATTTATAATACTTCAAAAAGCTGAAAATGTTTATTAAAAACTTACAATATTTGAACGTTTTAAAGTAAATAATTGAATTATTACCTTGTCGAGAAATATTCACACGCCTTTAAGTTTATTAATTAAATTAAAATTTATTTAAAAAATTATATACTTGCTAGGTTTGTTAAAGTTTTCTGTTAAAATTGTGTGACAGTTAATAATAGCCATCAATTATTAATGAAAATAATATATATAATGCGACTATATAATGTATAATCAAGTAGAACATAAATGTGTTGTTACAAAAATAAACAAAATTACTTTAATAAAACTATCAAAAATCTTAGATACACAAGATATATCAGGTGTATTCACGATCTGGCATAACGAGTTCGGTAAACAAGAAACATAGTAGCAGTGCAAAGCAGCAAGAACAGCTTATATTTTAAATAAATGTATTTTACTGTTGATAATTTATAGTGTTACCATGTTAACTGAGTTCCTTACTCCAGATCGTGAACACCCATAATGAACACACAAAGTTTGTAACCATATAAAGTAAATTTAAAAAGTGTAACTAATTAATTTCTTCTTGTTTTGGTATTATAATATTATTATTAAAAAATTTTCTTAAAATCGTCCAACAGCTGGTACTGCGGCCAGAAGAGTACCAATGATGTACCAATTTTATTATTAGTTACACAAAGCCCTTTAAAGCTTTGTTAACAAAGTCCAGAACTAAATCTAGAGAAGAAATCGTAATCTGTTCTCTGGTGACAGAAATTCCTTATGAAGTAAATTAATTCTGTGCTCTGTTAAAACTGGACAGTCTCAAAAAATATGCGTAGTAGTTTCCTCATCTTGGAGACATAATCTGCATTCCGAATTAGCAGATAATCGAAGTTTATGAAGGTGATATTTCAGACCGTAATGAAACCCGATATCAATCTTAAATTACCTTTTGAGAATTTTAAAATGTTTTTGTAGGAGTACGGGTTGATCAGTGTTTTGCTTTGTTTTAATCCTAGAAAGTCTTTCCAGTACACAAGCCATAAATGATTGGCCCAGTTTAACCACCAAAAGGGTTGAGGGCCTGTGAAAGCAGTTTTTGATGCAGTTCTGGGTTTCTAGTTTTGGTGAGTTGCTTATACAATGCACTCAAATGATTAACTTTCTTTTAAAATTATTATGCAGTTTATCAACAAAACTGCTTAATCATTTTATTTACAACAAATATCGCATTTAATACTTGTTTACTTTTGCTGTTGAAAATTTAATGAGGTAAATTTCTTCTTGAGTTCGATATTTTACAGATTTTTGAGGTAGAGGGTCGCTTGGAAAAGCTCACTATTAAATTTAAAGCTCATTTTTATCACAATTATAACGATAAATCGACATAATGAATACGAAGCATTACTTTTGCCTTGAAAAGCTCAATGTTAAACTCAAAGCTCTTTTCTTATTTATCATATTTATGACGATAAATCGACATAATGAATATGAAGTATCACTGACTCAAAGTGGAAATTTAATATTTGTCTTATATATTTTGGTAAATAATATGTCTTATTGATATTGATAAAACCAAATATTGTTTCTTTTTACTGTTATATGATTTTGTAATTATTAGCCGGTTTTAAATGTAATCAATACTCTTAAGTTAACAAACTTAATTATTGTCATCCGTTGACCGAAAGACACTTGAATGCTTTCACTGCAATCGCTAAGGACAAAACAACATTTCTCATGAATTTAAACAATGAAAATGAATATTTGTCCGCCGACAGAGAAGACTTTGTGCAGCGTGCAAATATACGTAAATGTTATGGACTTGAGATGGATACTAAAATGCAAGAAGAGAGTACAGTAAAAAGCATGTCTTGTTTAAATTATTATCTTTTGATAATTGCAAATCCAACAAAAGAAAATGTTCAAGTAATACAAATACGGCTGCCAACACTTAAACTCGAAGTAACGAAAATAGTCATTATGCAGCACTCGTGAAGTAATGACAAATTTTGTGCGTGAAATTCGAAAAAAAAATATACAAATAAAAATTTTATATTTTTTTAACAATAAATAAATAAAAGTGTTACTAGTAAAAACGAAAAGAAGCATAAAATATGATATTTTTAAAAAATCCACATAAAATATTATTTATTTGCTTTAGTCTGTGTTGTTTGTGCTTTACTGAAGCAGCAATTTTACCTTTGACATTATTCAAAGGCAATTCTAAAAGTGTGAATAATATCGTCAAACCAGTTGATAATTTCGGTTATATAGAGTATAAACCAAATGGTACTTTAATCCTGCGAAGTACTATGGAAAATGGCACAAATCTACAAAATTTATTACTCTTCAAGACTATATTGAACACAATAAAACTAACGCCATTTCTTGCCGGAAATACGGAAAGTAAACCCAGTGCTTTAAATCCTTTTGAAAAATTTGATATAAAGATTTATGGTGAAGGAGTTGAACATAGATTTCCGCCTTTTCTAGAACGTATTATACAACGTATACAATCCTATTTTTCTGTTTATAAGTACGTTGATACAAGTCGTCCAATACGTCACGAACAAATACAAGCAAATACGGATAACTCTAATGAGATCACGACTACAGATGAGAGTAATGACATTAGTAGTAATTTGGAAACAACTACTTATGGTGATATTGCAAATACAGATGCAACGGATGAGTATACGGAGTTCATATCTATTGGAGAAAATGATGGTTATATAACTGTTGGCGAAGACTGAATTTTAAATTTTTAGTTTCTGTTTTTGTTTTAATTTATTTGAACTGTGGTGCATTTATTATTATTAAGTGTGAAAATATTATTTCTTGTTTTTAAGTAAGAACATTTTAATTATTAGTTTACAATAAAAAATTAATAGAGTAAAGATATATTGAATAACAAAAAGAAAGATTTTTTTATTCTATAAAATAAATAGTATTAAAATTTGCAATTATTGAAAATCATTATTTAAATAATTTTAACTTCACATAACATTTATAATATTTTTGATTCCATATCTAAGCATATCTAAACGTGGTTAAATTAAAATTGTGGTTTTGATCAGTGATAATTATTGATTCAAGCAAACGGTTGGAACTCATTTATTTAAAATTAAAAATTTTAAAAAAGATTATATGTACAGCTAAAGTACAGTAGTTTAGAATGTTCTGCTTTAGTTCTTCTTAAAAAAGTTCTGTAGTTAGTCTGTCTTTACCAAAAAGTTGGCTTAGGCAATTGTATCATTCGCTATTAATTATTCTTTTGCCTAACTGAATATTATTTTGTCTTAGTATGCTCTTCCATGGTACATTGATTGCAATACAACAGTATTGTCATAGGAGTCAGTACTGTTGTCATAGGAGTCTTAAATCAATAGAGTCCAGGGATTTAAAAAAATTGATGACAATAGACGGTAGAGGTTATAAAGTTTTAGATGTATTTGTTTTTTTTTTTGTCTCAAAAGTAAACAAGTTAACTATACAACTTTATATATTTCTAAACACCTTTTATATTTTTAAATAGAACAATTAATTAACAGCTCATAAATGAAGCCAGCCAACTAATAATTGTATAAATGTATTGAAGATGGAGCAAGGCTATTTCAATTTACGGAGATATTGGCAAAAATAGGACGAATAGGATTTGTAATGAGTTTTCAGGGGTTTGCCTAGACTTAGGAATGGTATAGAAACATAATAAGAACTAATCAATCCTTTGATCTAACACGGCTTTATAGATTTCTGCGCTTTTTTTAATTCTTTCCTTGAGACATATTTATTTGCATAAACCTTAGAATGGTAGTTAAAAATTATCATGTATGTAGTCAATCCATTGCTCTGCTAAGGCTTTATAGAGACTACACTAATATGTATTATTTCTTGGAGACAAATTTGTACAAACTTTAGAATAATATTTAAAAACTATCAGATTTAGTTAATCGATCTGTACTTTTTTTTATTGTATTCTGGAGTTATATTATTTTGTAGACTTTTAAAAGAGAGCTTATTATAAGGAGATTTAATCCGATACCTATAAAAACATATAGTAAATTATACAATTCATGTTAATAGAAGTATATAACATGGCTTGTAAGTAATGACTTTCGTTGAAAATAAAAGTTACAGTCAGAAACTTCTTTTTTCAGAGTTTTCTGATTAGAATCGGAAAGTATTATAATTTTACTTCTCCAAACTGTTTGTTAGTCTAACGCGTCTCTTATATGTTATAGACGTATATAGAGAAACAGTTTTATTTATTTTAAATAAGTTGGTTTATAATATTATATCATTAAAATACAAAAAAAAAATTGTATTACATGAACTATTATAAAATTATTTATTTGCAAAGCAAATTTATATGTATAAATATACATTAAATTACCTAGTAATGAGCTATTTCGTAATTGGTCTAACGCTCTATGCGAGTGTGTAACCTAAGTTAGCTTGGTTGGCGCTAAATAGACGTTAATAACATCATAATGACTTGTTCCAATAAAATTCGCATTGAGTGTCTTAAGTTTACTTGCTTTAAAGCGTTTCTTGAATATTTAATCCGCACCAAATTTGTATCATATAATCGATATCCCATATGCTGTCTTGAGCGTTGCCCTTGTTAACAGTCACTGGCATGCGTAATTAGCGTTTAGTATGCGTGGTCGGGAACTCAGCTGCTCAGTAGATAAACAATGATGATTTTTTTAAGTTTCTTTAACAAGTTTATGCATTTTTATTTTATGGGTTTTTACACATAGAAATATTTCCAACGATTGCATTTAATTTAAACATTTTTTCACCATTCAGTAGTAATAATTTGGATCCGCAATTGAATTACATAAAATATTCATTCTGTCTTGAATCGCTGGTAGGCGTGACAGACAGATTTCATTACGGAAAATTTATAAATGGTTTCTAAAGAAGTTCAATATTGATTGTTTGCTATCTATAATCCATCGTTAGTTTACTTTATTGTACAGAACCGAAATTCTGAGATTTGCAAATGCTGCTAAATACTTTTACTTAATACCCTTTTTTATATAAGGATAGCGTCTTAAGCATTATGTATCCTGAAACTATTGCATAAAATTTATAAAATATATACTTAGAACTTAGAACTTCTTTATATTCAAACTTTATATTCAGATTAAATATAATCAATACAAAATATATATTTTATTTATTTTAATTTATTCCTTTTTATTTTGATGATCATGAAATATAAATGATGACAATGAGTATGTATGTAACTATATTTACTTTTATATATATATGTTTGCGTAATATTATATGAAGGATGTAATACTTGTCAGTAATCGTTGAAAAGTGTGCTGGTTAATATTGAAATTATAAAAAACCCTATGTTAGTTAGATGAGGAAGTTTATTACATTCCCTTTTTATCTGTTTCTGCAGTTGCAGCTAAAGTAACCCATAATCCTAAAATCCGAAATTTTTATTCATAGTTGTTCTATTCTCGAACGTGAAGTACCTTCATAAATCTACAAATTAGACAACTTTGGACTGAGGCACAATATCGTTTACAACTCCAACTGCTTTGAATAAATCGTGTACTTCTGCGGCCTTAAGTTGCGGTTGAGCTAAGTCCTTCTTTAAATCGGGTTCAGCTAACGGTTTGAGTTCTTTATTAGACAAAAATAAAATATAAACCAATATTATATTCAATTTAAAGTTACTTAAAGCTACAATATAAGTCAGTATTTTTTACCTTCTTTTTCTTTCTCTTCCTTCTTGCTGTCCTCCTTCGAATCTTCCTTTAAAGTATTTGATTCCAAGCACCTACCAATTGCAGATTTTTTCTCACTTTTTTCAGCATTACTGGCATCCAATTTAGCATCTTGTAATGGCAGCGCTTCTGGTTTCTTAACCTCTGGCAAAGGCACTGCTAAAATATTACCTTGTTGATCTGGTGTTAAGCTACGGGCACGTATAGTATGCAATGGTGTCAATATGACAGGAACTTGCACATAGTCAATAACTTGCGCTGGTGATGCAATACTATAGTAAGGACGTGGATCAAGATGTATGAGTGTGCGTGTAGAAGCTGGTGTTTCTGCAGCTTCTGATTTCTTCTCAGTATTAGGTACGGGGAAAAATACTGGGAATAAACCTGCACCAATTGTATTGGCAACGGACGCAGCTTGTGAGGCAGCTTCACTTAATTGTGGCCCCAATGGTACTTGTGATACTATCTGTTCTATTTGTGTTTGTATCTGTGATTGTGGACGTGCGTTACACATGAAAAATGCTTCGAAGGCAAGCGTAAAGAGTAAAATAAATTTATACATCTAAAATAAAATTAAGAAAAAAATTATAATACAATGTATACTGATATGTGTATAGATTGTAAGGAGTATCTGTTTATAGTTTTTCTGCAAACTTTCTGCAAAGAGTATTTTTTATTTATAGTCTTTTCAAGTTGCCTATTCCTGTTTTAATTCCAAAGCATCTAAATATTCTGCAAAAAAAAGGTTCATTGCATCGCTGCAGGGAGCAAAATAGGCAGGCATGCAATCGTATCAAATGATTTTTAAACTTAAAACAAGAATTGCTTCTTCAAGAACAAGTTGCTATGATAGTTTATTTATAGATAAAGCGCAGTTGTTTTCTTCCATATATTACAATTTATTTTTATTTTAAGTCATCTTGATATAGTTTGGGAAAGGGAAATACTTTGAGTATTAATACTGCTATTTTAATACTATAGGAGTGCATAGCTTGAAGTTTATGGTGAACAAATTAAAAGACTTAAGCAACAAACTTTTTTACCCGCTTGAAGAAATTTATGAAAATTAAAGTATGGAAAGCTTGAAGTACTTGATATTAAAGTTAAATAAATAGTCATTAAATAATTCTCTAATAAATACAAATTATAAAGAGAAAATTAATATTAAATATTTTAAATTATTTAACAAAAGAGAAAACACGTACAAGTTTTCAATCTTAGCTCCTTAATTTCTTAAATTTTGAACTCAACTTAATTTTTGAAAGAAATCGAATTTTTATGATAATTATTTGGAAAGTCTCGACTTTATCGGAAGTTCAATAAAATTGTTTACTTTCGTAGGAAGATGGCCAACATAATACATAACAAATCTATATAGTTCTTAAGCATAGCAATTACAGACAATGTTGACGAAGTTGCAGTCCTATTGAGGGATTGTAGTTGGAAAAATAGAGTACCATTGCCCCATTGCTTTGTCATAAAGTGTTTTAATATTCTTTTTTATATCCAGTTGGATTTGGTTCTGCTTCGGACAGACTTCACGTTGATCGTCTATAACTAAGAGCTCTAGCGCTCTTATTTAAACACATCACATCTTAAACAAATCTTCTAGGGTGTTTCTGTCATACATATTTTATTGATTCAATAGCAATTAATATTCGTATAGAGTTTATATTTTTAGTAGTTTTAGTAGTTTTACTGATCGCCCTGATAGCACTGTACGTGTTTAACCTACGCACAGAGCCTGGGTTAAAATTTCACTAAGGTGTATGTAATCTATATGTAATAAATTTTTTATGTATATTTATTGTTTGTTCTGACTATCTTTTTATTCACAAAGTACACCTGCAACAAAAATCTATCTAAATTTAGGATAGATTTAAATTTAGATTTTTTTCTATCTGAACCTAATCTAATTCTTTCGTTTTTGCACTTTGTAGTCATAAATATATATATATATATATATATATATATATATATAGTGGACCATTTCTATTTACTGGTTTGTGTCAATATTTATTTTTTCATATTTTATATTTCATATTTTATGTAAGAGACTTACAATATATATGAAATTATATATATATATATATATATATATATACTTTTGTTATATAATTAAATCAGTTTATTGAAGAATATTTTATTTTAGTTTTATGTGTTAACACTGATTTATGCAGAATTTTTTTTAAGTTTAATTTAATTAAAAGTTTATTTCTTCTATATTTTTATTTGAAATATTTTTCATCAAATTTATTTCATTATTATTAATTTTTATTATTATTTATTTTTATTATTATTATTTTTTTTTTATTATTATTTATTTTTATTTATTGCTACTTATTTATTGCTATTTATTTTTTATTTTATTTTATTATTATTATTAATTTTTATTTATTATTATTATTATTTTTTTATTCCTCATATTAAATGTTGTGTATTTTAAACGTAGAAAATTTCAATGTCTATCTAATTTATGTGTATATTTTGCAAAAATTTAATTATAAATAAGCAAAAATAAAACCAACATATAAATTGTTAAATTAAATTATGTAATATTTAAATTTGATAAAATTATTTAAGTTGCTTTATTATGAGATAGCTAGATAGATACTTCTTTATTATTCAATTTTAAAATTTTTAACAATATGAAGTATTATGCTTTAAGTCTAAAAACATTGGTCACAGTTACTTAAAAATTTATTGAAAAATAAATAGTACGACAATAATTTAATTAAGTTTAGTTATAAATTAAAATTTAATTAATTATTAATTATAGATATATATATATTAAAAAACAATATTATCGCTTTAAGAATTATCCCAGTCTTAAAAAATATATTGCAATAATAAAAACATTACAGTTATATTATAGATTATCAAATTTTAATACATTTGTTAATCTCGATATAGATTTTACTAAAATCAATGATTTCATATTATTATTAATAGTATTTTTATATTTTTTAAAAAATGTATACATATAAAAATTTACAAATTTATTTGTATAATCTATTAAGAAAGGTGTTTAATTGCAGTAAGAATAAATTTCTTTAATTACCTTTGAATATATTGAACTTTCTATAAAATCAATTATATATTAAACACTTTATACTCTGTTTGCCTACAAACTTTTATTTATTATAAATTTCACACTTAAGTTGTTCACACTTCTTTCAATTTAAGGAAACTGCAGTCAACTTCAGCTTAAGAAGACCTTTTATAACATACGTCGAGACTCCCAGAATAGATACCTGCAAGTTCTGTTTAGGTATGGATACCATCAGAAATCAAATAAAAAGTAAAAATTAATAAATGCAATGCATTGAAAAGTTGTTTTTAACTTGGAAGTGCACAAGAAGAATACGAAGTTAGTCCAAAAAAAAGACAAAAGCATCCTCCATTCAATTGCAATATTCGTACTTTATATAACTTTTATCGTTTGCTGCTCCTCCAGCAGCAGCAACGGTTGACAGCTGGATAGCTGGAATCTACGGTCAAGTTCTTTTTCTATGGTTGATTAATATTGCAGACAAGAAGAAAATCTCAGTATTGTCTTAAACTAGTTTTCTTGGTACTTGTACTTTTTTAAAAATAGTTTTGTTTTTTTTTCTGTACTACATTGTTGGTTTTATGATACAATTTATCTACATTTTAATATAAAAATTAAAAAAAAAAATTATAATAATCAATTTGAAGATACATAGAATATTGAACAAGTTTTTAGCTTTAAGGGTTTTAGGTATTTACTAAAAATTGAATAACCTAATATAAATAATATAATATGGAAAAATCACTGCATATAGTGTTTAGATAATTTTTAATATTTAAAAATTTTAAATGAATTTAACATTTACTTATAAATATATATATATATATATATATATATATATTATATATATATATATATATATATATATATCTATATATATATATTGTTTAAAATAAAATTTTGAATGTTATTGGCCAAAAGTAAGAATTGATTGAATCCGATAAGTGAGATTGGAGTTGTGATGTTCAATTGTGTGCCAATAACACAAACATATATGAAATGGGTTATGAAATGGGTTATATGGGTTATGAAATAATAAAAAAGATACAGTTGTTCCAGACGAACTTGGTTCCGTATATACAATTGAACAAAAACTTCATGAATGTTATTTCTTCAGAATGTTAAATTTAGCAAAATTAAAAACCCCTTTTTTTTAGATACGATATTATTGATTTACTCAAATAATTTTTATATAATATTTGGTTATCTCTCTGATACGCGGTACAGTAACATCCGAGAATGCCGGGCTTCTCTTAACTACCTAGCTAGGCGTGTCAGTGTTAAACAGCTGGACACAGTGGCGTATCGGCAACTGTGACGCAGTAGAGTTTGCAAAGGCAGGTGCTCTGCTTTCTGACAATCATTTCTCAGACATTGGGAACCAACTTGTAACGTCCAAGTTGGTAATCAAAGAAGAATATCTGAGCAGAGCAGATGAGCAGATGAACCCTTCTGTCAGATCTCGAAATCGAGTTAATCCAAACTAGATAAGAAACATACTAGTGAGCTGCTTTATTTAAGGCTTAATCTGCTCAACAGTACCGTAACGGCGTTGAGAGTGCACTCTAAGAAAACATGCATGCGATGAGACTGGATGTAACTACAATTACTTTTGTCGTGGCTGTGACTTTGCGATTGAGGACAAAATAGAATACCATTTTATGTATCAGTGTCAATCATTTGCTAAGAAAAGATTTGAAATCTTCAGAGAGTTCTTTCTTATCAACCCCTACAGCATTATCGATCATCCTGCAAAATTAAAGACTTAGCAAAGTCCACAGACTTGTCAGGTTGATTCAAGTTTAATTAAATAGGGGAGACATCCATTCCGGCATTGTTCGTATACTGACATCTAATCTGCGTATGAACAGCATTAATCAGTGATATCGTAACGGGTCATTATATGAGCTCAAGTGGGCTTGGGGAAAATATTATCAAACCTTTGAGAAATAGCGACATATAAACTAATTAAACAAAAATTCAAATCAATTTAAACATATTTATTTTAAGTAATATGAATTCCAAATGTTGAAATGTTTTTTATTAGTCCTGTAAGGGCTATGTTATGCAGAGTGTCTCGGGCACGGCATGAGTACAATTGTTATTGTTTTCAATGAAAATTTTGTATAGCAATAAGTGTCAATTTTTATATAGAAACCATATAAAATAGTATATATAGATTAGTATATAGAATTACCTGTTGTTTACCTTTCGATTTGTTTTGTACACGAAACAGTCTTATTCTTTCTATTGGGACATTATTCCAATGTATATATGTACTATATATACACTTTATCCAATTATCAACAATTTGACGAACTATTAAATTTGTTTACTTCTGCTTGGTTGCTACTGTTGATCTTAAAAATTAAAAATTACATAATTATATATAAATTTAATTAATGTTTCTACGGACAGTTTAAAATGATTAAAAATAATGATAATGTAGTATCTTACTTAATACTTCGAAAGATTCCATAGTAAAGGTTTGGATTTCTTTAGTTTGCGAGGAAAAAGCAAAGTCTTGATTCTTAAACTGTTCAGCCTCTTCCAAAGCTAAATTAAATTTGTCTATTATAACTGAATCACCTTCCAACGCCCCTTTGTAATTGTTTTCCGCCTCCTTTTGTATGTAACCCTTTAGACCAAGCAGATTAGCTTGAGCTTGAAAAAATTTTGTAACTATCTCCTCTGAGATGTCGGTTTTGATATTGAAGTTGAGTGCATATATTTTAGGTGGCGTTGCATCGGCCATTTTTGAATTTTTAAAACGTACTAGAAATTTAACGGTTTCGGATGTTATTAAAAAACATATTTAAAAAAAATTATAAAAATGTGAGTATATATACATTATATGTCAAAATAATTGAATTCTAAAGTTTATTTGAATATAATTTGACATAAAAACAAGTTTTATATAATGTTTGAAAACTAGATGTGTGAAATATAAAACTTTTAAAATTAAATTTAAATAAATTTCGATAATATTGTATTATTATTGAAGTTTTGCCTTTTTTTAGTTATATTAATAGTTTTATAGATTCAGAAATTCAGATACTGTACTGTAAAAGTGTTATCGAATAATAATTGACGGAAAAGTCTTATTAAAAGTTGAAGAATCTACCCTAAAGATGCAGTGATATAAGCATTTGGCTTCAAGCTTTCACACATCATACTTAAAATAACTTTGAATATCAAGCTACTTATTCAAATATTAAGAAGATCGATCCCTAAGGGCCATGTTATGCAGGTATTAGGACCATGTTATGCAGATAGCTCAAAACCTGGCTTTAAGAAGACTGTTTAAGATTCCATGGTATGTTAGATCAACAGACATACATAGAGATCTTAGGATTGACTCAGTGAAAAAATATATCAGAGACAGAGCTCTAAAATTATTCACTAAAGTTGATACGCTACGTAACCCCGCCCTAACAATCCTCAAGTCCACTTCTGGATTCTCAGGAAGATATGCTGATTTAAGGTCCGTCATCAACTAAAAGACAAATAAATGATATAGCTTCTTAGCCTAGTTAAAGCCTAGTGTGGGGTAGTGATAAGCCCCCAGCCATTATAGAGTAAAAGAGCGTAATAGCACTAACTCAAGAACAAGAAGAAGAAGAAACGCGTAAGTACTGTTAAATACTGTTAACAATTATTATAAGATAATATAATAATAAATTAATATTATAACAGCCTCTATGAGTTTTTTCTTGCTAGTTATTTTTGGTGGCAAATTGAAAGTAAGCATATCTAAATTTCCTTTTAAATTTAGGAGGCACTACCAAGAAGTAGTAAAAATACACAATTAGCAATACTGATGTGACACTCTGCATAACATGGCTCTTATTTAATATTGTGTTTTTAATCAATTTTAAAATTGTAGATTATTTTAAAAAAAAAATATTTCATGCAATTCTGGTAAGTGCTGCCTACTTGATGCATTTTTTCAACTATTTGTAAATATATACAAATTTTCTATAAACGTCTGCAAAACTAAAAAAAAATTATGTACACATCGCTAAATAATATTATATTGGAATATTATATATAATTTTATATATTTTACTAATTAAAAAATTTAATTTCGTGACAATCAACTACCTATATTCGTATATTACTGTTATATTGTATGCAGCAGTTGCAAGCTGACAGCAAAGAATTTTTAAATTATAATAAATATTCTTTTCGTTTTAAAGCTGTTAATTTATTTTGCATAGAAATAAATAATTTTTGTATTTCAAGCCGTGTTTAAAACCGCCGCAAAATATGCTTTAATTTCTGCACTTTGTTTAAAATATTCTGAAATTTTACACTTGCCTATATTTATGCAACAGTACAATGAATATAAAAATATAAAAAAAATGTATACAAGATTAGTCATATACATATACACATAATTATATAAATATCAGCAGATATATGCTATTTATGATCTATGATAATATTCTATAAATATGCAGAATATTTCCTAACGGATACATACTCAGCAGATGAATCTTAGGGGCATAAAACGAAGAAAACCTTAAAGAAGACGGGTCTACTTTTAATACTAACTGAGATATTAGGTATCATTGAAACTTTTTTTTGAAAACTACAGTTAATCAGAAAAACATCAATATTTTTAAAATAATTCTTAATTATTTAAACGATTCATTTATTAATATGTAGTTCCACATACCTTGATTTTTTATCTAATATGGTTTTGTAGTCAAATAGATTTGGAAATCATGATGATTTATAAATAATTTCATAATGTAAAATTTAAGAATAATTTTGTGTAGGAATTGTCTATTTATCGACCTTTAAAAAATTGACATAGTATTTCTTTCGGCAATAAAGCACAAATGCTCTATAGCATGTTATTTAATAAGTTTGTGAGATTTTGTCTAAAGGTTTATTTTTACAATAATTATGCTCAATATGCTTCACACTTACTTACTTAAATGGCCATGACAAACCGTTATCGGGTTTTGATCTGACACAGCATATCTCTCCAGTCGTTTCTGCTGCATACGTGCCTTTTCTTGTCTAGCACATCAGGTGCGGTTAGTGCTCCCTTAACTTAATCACTACACCGAAGACACGGTGTTGCCTTAAGCCTTCTTCATCCAACTAACGCTTCAAATAGTTTTCATGCTGCACTATCTACTCACGATGTGACCAAGCCAGCGAAGTCGCTGGATGTTGTTTTGTTGAACTATATCAATGTCGTGATAAAGCCTGTACAGCTTGTTCATGCGGATGCGATAAGCATCGCCAAGGCTTACAAAGAACTGTTTTCTCAAAAATTCTCAATATTGCTGTGATAGTTTGAACAACCTATAAAACGGAAGCTTTCACAACATGCTTTACATCGCTTGATATGGAGTAGGGGTCGTTTATTTCGTACAATTTTTTCTAGAGGAAATGGCTTCATAAATTTCTGGCATTTAAAAATCTTTCTTTACATTATTGATTAATAAATTGCAGTTTACGATAACTAAATATCTTTTACTTTGCTTGTAAAATTATTGACTGATATATGATTTAAATGCTGTATCATTGTTGTCCAAACAACAATGATACTGAATGATCTGGATGCCTATAACTAGCAGCTGTTCCAAAAAACAAAAATAGTACACAAAATTGTTTTAAAAGAACTTAAAGTGTATCTGTGTGAGATGGTTAACATCTTAAAGATAAAGTAGTGTATTTACAATTCTACAGAAAAATTAAACCAAGCATAAGTTGCTTTCGAAGTATTTTTTTTCACACCTCCTTCTTTTTACATCGGACCAAAAACAAAAAGTCATCATTCTATGAAAAAAATGATAAAATTTAATGAATTATGCTTCGACTTGCTTCCTTATACTCTGGACGCGCTATATCTGGCCTCTAGCAATTACTGGCTTTTAAGCAGTTGTCAAAAAGATGCATTAGTGATAGAAATTTGAGTCAAATGAAAATGTGATTACCGAAACTGAAACCTATTTTAAGAACAAAAAAAATCATTAAAGAATTGTAGAGCTGGAATGAAAGTACATATAGCTCTTTAAGGAAAGTATGTCGACGAATATAGTTGAATTTCTATAATTAAAATTTTTTCCAAGGAATGTTTTGTTCGGGTCTAAATATCATATCATAGTCAAATGTATATATATAATTCATGCTATTAATTCTTTTAAAATTAAATAATTTTCTTATTAAACTGCAATTTGGAAATACCTTCTTATAATTTTATATATTTATAAAAATCCTACATCTTTCACTAAAAAATCATTAAAAAGATTTTTAATTATTAAATAATTTACCATTATTAAGCAAAAGTCTTGCGTATATATAACTTTATTAAAAAAAAAAAAAACTAAAAAAATTTTTTAATATATTTTTCGATATTATTTATTTATATTTTAATTTTATAATATTTATAATCGTTTAAAATTTTACTTTTTTAATTTATTTCTTATTAATATATATAATAAAATGATCCGCTATTGTTACGCAGTGCAAATTTATTTGTGGCTTTGATACGTGGTAATTTATTAGCATGAGCGCTACGTCCATAAATAGAAGGAGATGAAGCGAAATCCTCAGCAATGATAGTCTTCCATTTATTTATCAAATCGTCACTAGCAGCAGAAGATATGACAGCAGCAGTCTTAGTTTTAGTCGGTGGAGCTATTGGCATATCGCGTGTAACTTGACGAACCGGTGCTATATCACTGTAATCGTAATCATCATATGAGGGATATTGAACTGGTGTTGATGGACGATATTTATTTTTAATAACAAGTTGATTATAAGCTGAATTTCGATTAGGTAATGTGACACTGAAAGCCGCTGCTTCTTCAGGTGAAACACCGGCTATAGCAGTGGCTTTTGGTGAAGCAACAGCCAAACCATTTCGGCCTGAGAGTGCTACAGCATTCGGTTTCGAAGAAGCGACACCACCTTCACCGGCAATTGACAAACCTTTAGTATGAATAAAAAGTAGATATTTTTAAATTTTCTTAAAAATTAAATACAGAATTTAATACAAAATTAATTAACTGCACATACACATAACTGCACATACATCTGTAATATTTAAATATTTAGCAACAAAATGTAAGACTTTAAGAAGTCTTCTATATACCATATATTTACTAGCTAATTCATTTCATATATTACTACTTACCAACTGGCTTGGCTTCAGCAACTGATGCATCCTTTTTGGGTGCTGTAACAGCAACACTGTCATTGACATCCTCGTATGGATCGTCAGTGTTAGGTGGTAACAAATCTGATTCATTAAAATGTTGTTCAGTTACCTCATCGACTTTTTGCTCACCAGCGTCTTTATCAACGTTACTATCACTGGCAAATGTTGGTTCAGCAGTAGTTGATTTTGTTGGAGCACTTGTAGAAGTAGTTGTTGGTGCACTTGTTGGTCGCATTGTAGCAGATGGTAATGGAAGACCCATTAGTGGTTGTAATAACATACTAAAATCTTTTATTTTTCCACTCTGTTGTAACTTAGCTAATGTCTGCGCAGCCTGTCCTAATTCTACCAAGCTATCAGCATAAACTCGATTGTCTTCAGCTGTAAAGGAACCATAACGTTTCGCCTTCTCCTGCAATGCTATTAGTCGTGCCGCTGCTAACTGTATTCTAAAAAATTCCTTTTCAAAAGTTATCAAATCATTGTTACCAACTACCGCTGCCGCTGTAGTTACTGCACCAGCTGAAACCGCAGCTGAACCATCTCGATTTGTAGTCACTTTCGTTTTCTGCGATAAAACTTCGGTATCGACTATGCCATCTCCATGACTACGTACATTCAAAAAGTGACCACTGAGGCCACCATAATATGGATAAATATTCTCTTCAAATATTAAGGGATCATTGGACCTGTGTCTATGATGAAGTTGAAAGTACGTAGCTCAGATATACATCAGTTTATAAAATTTTAAAGTGTTATGAATGGAAAGCAAGTATTAAACTACATACATATTTACAAAGGATTGTATTAAGCATATTGTAGAGAGAAATAATGATTGCTAATACTGAAATAGGCATATCTACAAAGTTTAAAATGAAACCGTTAAGTATTAAGTACATATAGAAGACATTTGAAACTGTGAAATAATTTATGTAAATTTTAAAGATTTATTTGGAATTAAATTCGTAGTTCTTTACACAAAACATATGTAACATATTTTGTACTATATACGCTAAATATTATATACTATATAAATACAAGACAGAAAATAAAATTTTCGCGTCTCATCGACTCACTAAGTCCAATTCCAGATCAGCTTGCGCATGAGCTTTGCCACCTACACCGGCTATAGCTACTGATTCCGGATTAAAGTAAACATTTGTTGGTACTCCTTTCCTTAAAAATGCCTTTGATATAGGTGTTGAAATTGCAGTGCCACCATTACCGACAACTGCTTTAGAATGTGGTTCTAGTATTAAAGCAGCTGGTTTTTTTCCAGGTTTTTGACCTTGCGAAAAATATGGTAAGAAATATGTACCGAAAGGTATTTGTGGTATGGTACCACTCGTTCTTGTGCTGCCTGTAGATTCTACTTTCACGTTAGATTTACCTGCTCCAGGAAGCTTTGTTTTCTTCAACTTTGCTGCTGTTTGTTTAGTTTTAGACGATCTTATTTGGCTCGCCGCTGGTGCATTACTAAAAATATTTACAGTTTGAATAGCAGCGCTAGTTTTTTCGGTACTTGTTGATGATATCACAAGCTTGCCAGGCACTTGAATTATATCTTCTATAACAAAAGTTGGATTAATTTTACTAACTGCTGCTAGAAGACGTGCATCTTGCTTAAAATCGCCACTTTTCACTGCATTTTGCAGCTTTGCAGGCGCAACCGTTGTTGTGCTCCCAACTACTTTAGCAGTAGTGGCTTCTATATCTCTAACTTTTGGTTTAGCAGTAGTGCTCGTTGTGTCTGTTGCTGTTGGTAGCCCTACTGTTGTTACAGTTGGTAATAATGTTAATGGTAATGTATATGGAGTGGCATAGTAAGGTGAGTTTAGTAGCAAATATGGATTAGAGTGTAGCAGTTGGGCTGGCAGAGTTGCTTGTGTTAGTGGTAATGGCTGCAATGGTTGATATATAGGTTGAAATTGCGTATTTGGTAAAAGTGGCTGTAATAAAGTTTGACTTTGACTTTTTTCGTCAACATTTGTTGCTTTAAGTTTTTCAGATCTTTCGATGGGGTCTTTTGTTGGTGGACTTTCTTCTGGTGATTTTGTTAAATGTTGTGTTAATGGATAGGCCAAAATTGGGGAAGTACGTAGAGGCCACGATTCTATGCTTGCCACTTGCCAGTGATTGCTGAAGTTTATAGAGATGTTGGATTTTGGTTTTGTATTTACAGTTGTGAGCAGCATAAGAAAGTAAGTAAAGCAAGAATATTTTTTAAAATATTTACAAAAGCTTTCTTATTAATAATTTTTGTATTGGTTATTGTTTGATGAAAATATAAATCTATGTACACTGTAACCCCACAAATGTTAGTCAAACTTATTTCAATTTTTAAGATAAATATATATAGTTTTGTTTAATAATAACCCCCGTCATGCAGTTTTTTTCTCATAAACTTGTAATGTAATTAAAACCAAATTGTTTAAAATTGTTGGTTACTTAAATATTAACTTAAAATAATAATGCTGACATGTCAGACTTACATTAGTTAAATAAGCTAAAAAAATATACTTAACTCCAATTCACTATATCTTTAAAAATGTATGACGTAATCAAAAGTTCAATACGGTTCCTTATATATTTGAACTGAATTGTTACTTTGTAGTCTGGGGAAAAATTTTCAAATGTGAGTTTTTCAGAATAATAGCAACCAATTATGTAGAATGTTGGCTCAAAGTTTACTCCATGGTTATCATATATTTTAGTCAATTTATAAATAAGGTAAGTAAACAAAGTGATTGGTTATAGTCCCTCGTTGCTATAAAGTTTTCTTATTGGAAAGAAAGAATATGATTATTTGGTATAAAATACCGAAAATAAAATAATGAGTGTAATACTATTTACTTGACTAATTCTGAAACAAGTTATAAGTATATAGACACTAACGATTTTAAAGGTTTTGGATTAAATATTGATGAAGTGAACAGAAAGGCGGTCATATTCGAGAACAGCGCTTAGTAAGATTCCATAATATAATCGGTACAAGTTAAGGAAAAAATGCAGAACAATGATGGGGAATATAATAAAGCAGGCTTTAAAATGGATATACAGGGTTGGCTATATTATGTGAATCTATTTGGCGATATTGTAGCTTTGACAAAGAAGGTGGGATGACTAATGGTAGCCCTTTTCAAAAGCTCAGTTATAAGGAAATTTTTGTATTAAGCAGTATATTCAAAATATTGCACGGAACATCTTGACATTGCACGTCAAGCAATGAGATGGAATCCTCAAGGCAGCCGCAGACCTGGAGCACCAGCTAAAACATGGAGAAGAACAGTTGAAGAAGAATTAAGAAAAGCGAACTATTCCTGGTGTGATATATGCCGCGAATCAAATAACCGAATTCGATATAAAAATATGGTAGAGACCCTATGCTCCACTGGGAGATAAGGATAAAATAAGAAGAAGAAGAAGAATATTCAAAATAACTTCACAATTGTGAAAACTCAACGCAATATACAATAATGTATATTGCGTCGTTAAAGAACACAATCAAGCGTTTCCACGAAAGATCTTGTCTTCTGATACTATCGCTAATTTCAGGCTTTCTAATAAAAAACGGATGAGATAATTCGTAATTATTAAATAGTTGACTCTGTGTTTGTAGATGAACTTTGCAACACCATATATAATTATAACTGCACCCATACTTGCGAAATTCAGCAAATTTTTTTTTTTTTTCATGTGTATTACTAAAAATACCCACACCCAAAGATTTTATATATTATAAATCATAAGTAAAAAATAAAACAATAAATTTAAACATATAAAGTTTACATATAACATATACATTTACATATATTTAACATAAATAATTATATTTCAAAATCTATTGTAGCAGTCGATTCATAATATGAAATACTCATACAAAATTAAATTAGACTAACTTATTTAATTTAAAAAAATACTATAAAACTTAATTGAATAAAAGACAAAAAGCTAAGTACAAATGAACTCAAACTTCCCCCGCTGCGCCTGTTGCTGGTGAGTAATAAACTGTAGGCCCCGTAGCAACGATTTTACCCTCTCTCGGAAAACTTTTCGTACTTAAATCTGTGCGTTGCAATGCATCTTGTAGATCAACATCTGCCGGTATGGCAATAACTTTTGCACCAGGACCAGCAATTATCAAACTGCGTGGATGTGTAAGTGCATAGCCACCAGGTCCAACAATAGCCGTACCGCCACTGCCAGCAGTAGCAACACCACCTGGTCCGGCAATAGCTATACCACCTTTCCGCACTTTTAGTCTTTGAATTATAATACCACCCTGTTTCAGCGCCTCCCTTTGTGTGTTTTGCTGCTGTTCATGTCGATTACCGAAGAATTGTTTCTCTACATGTTCGGTGGATTCTTCTTCAGCCGCACTATTGCTGGCACTATCATCCCATTTGTAATCGTCATCATTTACTAAACCAGTGCTGTAGTTTGGTTGTGGTATACTTGCTTGACCAGCTAAATATGCACTCTGTGGATATTGTAGTCCAAGAGGTGTAGGATCATTTGGTTTCCCCTCCCCTCGGAAAGGCAATTTGAAAATATTCTGAAATGCATTTTTAATGATTGTTGAGGCAGTGCTGTTTCTTAATTGATTGCTTAGTGGTCTGATAATGCCATTATTATTATTGTTGGTGCCGGTATTACTATTATTAGTCGTACCTATATTGGCATTATTGTTATTTGGATTTTTATTATAATTACTATTTTGTGGCACATTCGTCTTATTTGGTTTACCATTCACATTCTGCTGATTGTTGCCAACAGAAATTGCTGTTGGTGGCGTTATATGTGCTGTTGTTATAACTGCACCATTGCTATTGCCATTGCCATTGTTGGGATTTTGCAATTGCTGTGTGGCCACTTGCAATGCACTGGGTTCTCTGTCTACGACTGGTCTAGGTACAACGCGTTTACGTGTAATTTGTGTGATGGCAGTGGCATTGACTGTGCCTCCCTTGTTGGTATTTGTACTGAGACTCGTCTGCACTTTATATGGTCGTACGGCTTGTTTATGCTCACGTGAGCCAGTATCTTGTGTTGCATCCTCTTTACTTAACTCTGCGGCAATTGTGCTGTTTTGCTTCTGACTATGCTTAGCCATGGCTGTCTCATCCAATGTTATGTCTTGTGGAAGGAAAAACAGATGATACTTCAGTGATGAATTCAAGTTGCTGCCAGGTTTATTGACTTTTTGCTTTGTTTTGGTTTTACCATAGAAGTGATCAATATCCCCAACGATATTGTAACTTTTAATGCGATACTGTTGTGGTGAATTTTTTTCAATAAATTCCTCCTTATTAAGCTTATAAAGATGCACAGGCAGGACAAATTCTGTTGGTAATTGTTGTTTTTGTGCCGCAGAGTGTGGTACAATTACTTGATTTGGTCGAAAGAAAAGTGGCTTCTGTAATTCCAATTGTTCTTTATTAGCATTCAAATCGATTGGGTTTATGGGTAAGTTTTTAACATTTAGACTTTGTATTTCTTTAGTATTCTTTCTTTTCACAGGTACGTTATAGTTAATAAGGGCTTGAGGAAAATTTATTGCTCTGATTGAGGGCACTAATAACGTTTCACCATTGCTACCAGCAACTTGATGATTTTGTGCGTGAAAGGGATGGTAGGTTGGTTTTGGAAATAAATATTGACTGGAGTCTAGTATAGGTGGTAATTTTCGTTCTGGCTGTTTTTTGACATAGCCCAAAGCTTTATTAATTTTATCAATTTCTTCTAAAATTCGCTTGGCTTCATCTGTTTTTTCACTGTTCGTATCATCGTCATGACGTTGGTCAATGTCTTCAGGAAATTTGACCAATCTTTGTTTTTCAATTCTGCAAACAAAAGTTTAAGCAATTTTTTGGCTTATAATTTGTTTTTTATTGTAAATTATTTTAATTTTTTTTTAAGTTTGTTTTTAATTTTTTTAATGGAATTTTGATAAATAATTCGGAAAAATGTTTGTATTGTTATAGTATTATGTATCTGTGGATTTGGTTGTGTGTGGCATAGTCACTTTTTATCGAGAGCTTAAAAAGTATCATTATCCTTATTTTTGCATGAAATTTCGGTTAAGTTTTGTTAGCTATTTGGGCTAATATTCAGTGCTTAAATTTATGTTTTTTTTTTTTCATTAATATGAATTCATGTGATGGTTTTAACATGCTTTTATGTTTGGATTATAGTTTTACATGCACTTACTTAGAATGGTTCAAAGAGATAGTCACAGCAATGAGAAATAGTTGTAGAATTTAGTAAAATTAAGAACTATGCTGAAGCTCTGATGTAAAACGTTTTATATGGAAAATATTGTTTACTTACTCAACAATAGCATCACGGGAATCAGCTGGTTTTCCATTGACTGTTCCACAGATTAACAAACCCAGAATTATGAACTAAAATATAAAAAATACGATTGTTATTTTTTTAAATGATGATGCATATAAATTATTAATTAGTTTGATTAATAAAAACTCAAAATACCCATCAGAAGTGATCTTTGAAAATTATTCTTTGGTTTTCATAGCCAATATATAAATAATGGACTATAAATTGTAGATATAGAATTTGTCAAATTTTGACGCAATGATGATAACATAAACTGCACTCAGAAAAATAATTTGCTTGATATAACCAGATTCTAACTAAATCTAAGGTCAAAATATTCTTATTCGACGCATCATATTGGTTCAACCATACCACATGTTGGTTTTCATGTCTTCTTTTTTACCACATGAGATAAAATTTCTCTAACAAAATGGTCAGGTCTAATTAACTAGTATATGGTCAGAGCATATTTTTCTGATTATGCTTCAAAAGTTCGCTGTACAAATTTTAAGTTTTGTTAAAAGCACTTTGAAGTGTAAATTTAATTATTATTACTTTTAAAAAATGTGCCAATAAGTGGATGTTAATTTATAAAGAGTTGGGGTTTCCAATATACATTTCGTATGGACGCTGTTGCGGGAAACCCTGGACACAGAACGACTTGGAATTTGCTGGGTAATAAGAAAGGATTATTCGTATTGGAATATGCTGATGATGTGGGTCTTAACGCACGCTAATATACAACCCCAAATTACAGATCTCTCAACTAAGTGTGCAACAGTGAGTCTTAACACTAATATTACTAAAACAAAACCCATGTGCATCAACGCGTCCAGCTCGCAATAAGTAATACGATCGTGGAAAACGTCAAAAAGTTTGAATACATCGGAATTTTAAAAATGAATTTCAACTTATATTCACAAAATATTGGTATCGCCCATGCGACTAGTGGATTAACATTAGTATGACTTTCTCAGCATTACGTTCCTAGATTAGGTTTTATACATAAGAAAGAACAAATCATACAACAAATAATGCCTCTACGAACAGAATAGTATTGAAATTTAACAATTAAAAATAAAAAAAATATAATTAATTAATTAATTCAATTATTCTACAGCTGTGGTTTATGATTTCGTTCTAATATAAACACAGCAAGTAAAATTGTTAATAAAAACTTTTATAGCAATAGTAACAAAAAACTCCAAAAAAATATGCGAACATAAAAAGTCAAGTACGGCTTTGGATCAGTTGGTTAAGGTGCGCTGATTCTGAACTTCACATTTGGCAGGACCCGAGTTCGATCCTGGTACTTGCAGTCTCAAAAATAATTATTTACGAATAATTAAATACAAGAATTATTTCCAAGACCACTGATGATGGTTATTTGGCAATACTGGAAACAGCTGTATGGTCAGCCAAAAATTCAATTAATTAAAATAATATAAAAAATAAAGTTTTTTCTCGAACTACTCTTTATAAAAAAATTAATAATTTAATTTTAATTTAATGAATCCATAAAATTTAATATTTATTTGACTGTGTTTATCATATATATTTCATTAAAACGAAACTTCAGAGCAACGTACGTTCATGTACGTTATATTTTTAGATTGCTAAATGATGGATATATATATATATATGTTATAATTTTTTATATTAATTATAGCTAAGCGTAGTACGTAATAGAAGTATAATGATAATATAATTATCTATAAATATTGTTCAAAGAATTTAAAAAAATATTTCGATTTCTTCACAAAGGGGTTAGTAAACAATATTTCTTATAAAAAATGATTTGATACTATTATTTTTTACTGGGATAACATGTATATAATTTCTTTTGTTGTTAAATAAAGAATGAAAAAATAATAATTTATTATAACCAGAATTCTTTTTGTATTTGTTTTGAAATTAATACCCAAAATTGATCCATGCAATACAATCCAACATAATTGGAAAATTGAAGAAGCAAATTACATAAGTAAATAAAAGAGAATTATTATTTACTCTTCTTCTGTTCTTTATTTATTTTAACTGAAGTAAGAACATATCGAGTTGGGAACCTCTTGCACCAAGCCGCTTGGTTTTAAGATGAAAGTTATTCTATTTGAGTCACAAAAAACTCTTTCCATAATAAATATGCCACACAGCAAATGTGAGCGCTGTAGAGTAGTAGCCCCTCGGCGCAGATGACAAAGATGTTCAGAAATGCGGTCAAGTAATTTGAATTTTAGATTTCTTAAGGTGTACCTGCTGATATATCACATATTAAATTATTTATTTATCATAAAAATACAATTTTATTAAAATTTATTACCAAGAAGAAGAGAACTTATTTTAATAAATATTAGACAATTTGTTCAATTGATAAAAATTATTGTGTGTATCTTATCTTGTATTGAACAAAGGGCTTTGTGTATTTAATGGAAGAAAAATAATAATAAATTTTAGATTCAAAAAATTTAAAGTTTTATTATTTAAAGAAAAGAAGTAAAAGTGACAGTAGCTAGAGTTATTGTATGTAAGAATCACAATAATAAAAAACATAATTAATATATAATTAGTTTTAAATAGAATTAAAATATAAAAAGATGATGTATGTTAATTGCTTGATATTTTATTTAAAATATGTATAATTAATTATGTACGAATTTTATTATTAATTTAGCAGTATATTATAGTTTAGCATGTATTGAATTTCTCACAATAAAGTTATAATTTTTTAAAATATTCATACTTCACGTTTATATTATATTTAATATTTTTATTATATATAATTGCTTTATTATGTTTATATTTTTATCATATACAAGTATAATATATATATTATGCTTTATTATAAATAAATTTCACTCATAGATTTTTGTTAAGCCAATATATTATTGAAAATATTCAATCAATTATTAATTTTCCCAGATTCAAATGAGACAATATTTAACATAAGTTTTGTCAAAATACAAAAAAAAAATACTAAAAGGAAGAGTTAACATTTTTTTTTTGAAATATACTTCCTTCTGTTATGACTGCTAAAAATCTTAAGAAACACCAGTAAGCTATTTATTGTTTTTATTTCTGATATTTTTAGAAATTGTATTAACCTTAAAAACATTTAAATAATATAACATTTATATATCTGTTTGAATAGAGAAAAGCTGAAATTTAAATTAATTTCTATGATAGCAAATAAACGTATGGAACCTTAACTACTTTTTAATATTAAAGACATTCTGTATCCTTCCTGCAGACCTCGTTCATGTCATGCACTCCAAACACCCCTAACATCTCACGCTATACTTCGATGAGCGGGAATTCAATGCTTCTATTATCTCTCTCTTAAACCGTGGCACTACAAAGTCTACTGCTAGTCTACCTCCGCATTCATGGAATAACTAAATAATAAATACAATCCCTTTACCTACTCCCCATCTACCTAAGTCACGACCATGCTTTTTGGCTTAGATAAACCCAGTCCACTAGGTATTAAATCTATCGCTCCTATTTTTCTTCACTAATTATTGGAATGAAGCTACCACAATGCGGTGTGGAATTCTTTCTTTTTAAAATTTCTAAGAAGTGCTTTTACTGGGTTAAAATCTCACACTATAGCTGTCGATGTTTTCCACGTACTATAAAAATAAAAAAAAGAGACATTCTTGCGGTTCCAGTTCATCGCCGAATTTTTTTTGGTGATATTTTTTGGCTATAATAGAAATTCTGTTATATTAGTTTCTATTTTTTATTAATGCGGATTTTATAGCCTATCGACTGTTTCGAAAAGCTACCATCTTACTATAGATGACTGGTACTCTTCCTAACTTGCGACCAGTACGAGTACTGAACTAAAATACTTTCAAAGTGTATAAATACAGTAGTAGTACATTTATTTGTAGTTAATATTTTAACCTGAATTTGAACTTTAAATTAACATCCACTTGAATGAAATATATGTGATTAAATTCACTGCATATATAAAAACAGCAAAAACCTATTGTTGCTGCTTTATTTCAGATAGAAATCATAATCTTTGATTAATTGAATGCTATAAAGAAAGTTTTTCAATTTTTCTTACTATGACTTTTAAGTTCAAGACATCATCAATGACTCTAATTATTTTAACAATTGTTCCCAC